GATACTATCAGGTTTACATGTATACAGTGCAAGGTTAAAATAAATATTACTATTATTGCTAACATGCGCAAAACTACTTAACAAGTTTTTATAACTGGGGGTAGGTTTTATGTTTTAGGTTTTATTAGGGGGTGGGTGAATAATGACTGCTGAAACTTATAATGAATTTTTTTAGTTCTTAGATCAGCGACCACAATCAATATGCTTTCATTGTAGCTATATATTTTATTAAATTAAATACAAATAAAAAAGGGTTGATGTTCAAGAGTCAATAACATTTGTTCATTTCAGTAACACTCTTCTTCCAAAAGCTAACAAAAATGCAGAAAATTTAAAGAACTACAGCTAAATGAATTTGCTGAGTTTCTGTCAAGTTAAACAGGCAAATAAATAGAGGTGCTATTCATCTTCGTTTCCATAGAAATATTGACATTTTGAATTTCTCATAGCGTTAATCCATACTTCAGCAGAAATTTTAATTGACAATTGGTCAACTGAGTTCCTGTTCTCCATTATATTTTTTAAAACCATGGTTAATAATTTTTTTTTGTAACCATATTCAATGATTGAATACTCATTTAATTATTCACTTTGGTTTTATTTTTCTATTTTGCTACAAAGTAAAATTAACTGAAAAAAATTATATCTACATAAACTTATGTAGAATTACAATAATATAAATTGTTTCCTTGGCAAACCGGCAAATTTAATAAGTGAATACGTTCAATATACAAATATAGTGAAATTAAATGCCAGTGAAAATAAAAGGTTTTACAGTAGCCAGGCACAGGGAATTATTTTTAAGGTAAATCTCTAATAGCGCAAGAAGTGTTGCTATGAAATTTGACATTACATGAACTAGTCTGTTCACTTCCTGTTCATAATCTCCAATAGAACTTGCATCATCATCATCAAAAATATTCTAAAATGAACTATAGAGGGCGTGTACTTGTAAGGCATGATGAGATGGTTCACATGCTCAGGATGACCTAGTTTTATTACCATTAATACATTGTTGTAAATCTGCTCTTTAATAATATTTCATCAGAATGCTATGCCATAGAAAAATGTAATTATTTTCTCTATATCGTTATTTCATTATTAGGAACTAGTATTCATAGTACATAAAAAATGAAAAATATACTGGGGTAAACTTTTCAAGAAGGACGAGTTCAAATGGCTCCATAATTTTTCATAGTACCAACATTTTGTTCATTAACATGTGCTGAAAAAGTCAGACTTTATACTCCCACAATGCACTGCACATCTGCTCAGTAAAATGCTCAGTAATACAAAATTTGAATTCAGCTCAAACTGTTACAGGAATTGACGCACATACATGTAAATAACATAAAAGGTGCATGCAATTCACACAATTACATGAAGTAATCAGATTACATGAACATGTACAATGTAATACACAATTATGCATGAGAATTCATGCCATAGAAATATGTTAATTGCTTTTTAGTATCAATTCAATAATGGAAACCTTAATAATTGCATTACACACTGCAGTGACTGCTTTCAATGTAAGTTTGTATAGAAGTACATGCAAACGTTTGTCCCAAGATACACATCATAAGTGATACAATGTTTGACATGTATGTGAAATTTAAATATGATTGTTCAAGATATGGCTCAAGAACAGCATTCATTAGAACAAAATGGCCACCAATTGGTTATTTTGAATTGGATGAATATGATGTATGTGTGAAGTTTGATATACAGAGGTGAATACAATAAATAACAAGTACTAAAAAGAATATTATTTACCTGTTCAACTCTTATGTCATATTCTCCATGTATTTTTTTACCTCTAAAATATTTTGACCTGAAACAAAATGAGAATATATAAAGTATACTCAAAACTGAGGTATTCAGAATTAAACATAATAAAAATAAAAGCTACATACATGGTACAATATCTCAGGTTGTGTCGAGTATTGTTGATCCTTCATGTTTGAGAGGGATTACAACAGTTGTTTATCTGTACTTTGACCCAAATATGGAAGATGAATATTCTGCACACATTTCTAATGCTAGTGTATTTCCTGTTATGGTATTAATTATTCATTATTATATTCATGCAAGAACGGCGATGACAATTTTGCAAAACAGCTATTATTTCATGCTGATATACCGGTACATGGATATAGCATTTCAATAAGAAATAAGAAAACACTGTGTTCAATTCATATTGCTTGATACACATGTTTTTTGATTTCCTGTGAGCTATCAACTTGAAAGAAAATATTATCCTCTCCCTTGATGAGCATGTCATATGTTCAAGTATTAAGTTCAAGTTTCAAGATCAAGTTTTTCCAGCAAGTAAAAGATTCCTAATGTGAACATGCATAGCGAAAGTAATCAAGGAGTAAAATCAATGTGCACATTAATTTAAAATATTATTAGTACTTATCATTCAAAATTTAACAAAATAATGAGAGCCAAAAGAAGCAGTGTACCTCACACCATAGACCTTAGAAAGAGAAGGTCTATGCTCACACTAAATATTAAAGCGGGAGGGTCATCACCTGCGCATGCGCGAGAACTGAGTCCCAAGCGACGATAACAACACACGCTAAAAACGCAAAGGCTCATGGGTAGACGCTTGTTTGTAAATAATGACACGCTATGGCCATCTGACACATGCACAGGTGACGACTCCCCCCACTTTAGCACAGACACATAAAAAAGTAAACCAAGCTAGTACCCTTATCCAAGGGATGGCAGAATGATTGACAGACTCAAAGTACCATTGTACGTCACATTAACATCATGACAAACTGGAAACACACTCATCTTTCTGAAGTTATACCAGATTATGCGTGTTCCCCATGGGAACTAATTACAATTCAGATGTCAGTTTGAGTCAATTGTTGATAAAGAGCATTTGTAGTCCTACAAAAGACAGTGCTTTTTGCTCCACTGAGACATTTCACTTTGATGAGACAAACTGTCTCACAAAATTGTAAGGAAATACAGAGTGTTAATTTACAAGTGTAAAATGAAGTTTAAAATTCTATTAAAGTGGCATTAAGCTTCATAATCATGTTAAAACTCACTATATAGAGTCTATTGAGAGGTATTTGTGCTTGTGAAAATGTGCGGATAGTGAGAACACAGTCCGTAACTAGTGAAAAAGTGCAATTGCGATAAGGGCATTCTCCGCCAGTTACTAAAGCATCATGGAAGGAGCAACTATGACAATAGGATTCCAGAAAAATGGAATATGGAAAAATATGATAATATACTTTTTATGTTAATGCTTGCTTAAGAATTTGCAGACAATGCATGTACACAGAATGAAATGAAGATGAACTGCACTTTGTTATGATATGCTTCAATATAAATTAATATGCCAACAAATCATACAAGACATTACATTTCCACAAGAAACACAGAATGATCTCCAGAAATTAAATTTCTTGATGAATTCAAAAGATGATGTAATAATAAAGATTCCCATGAACCTTGATAACATTGTTTTTGTTTGCAGGATTGGCCGTTTCTTGTTGTTCATTTCTTACTGTTGACAATAATCTCTGGTCTTGGAATTGTTTTGTTCATCTTATTTCTGGAGATCAAGCTCGTCAAACATGAGAAACTAAATTTCATGAACAGATTTGTCATCTTGTGGTCATAACTTAAAGTCACTGGTGCACAGCCATGTCTATGATACATAATTTTTTAGTCCATTTTCGTGTGAATAGATGGTGTAATTTTGAAGAAAAGTGTAGCAGAATGACATTAGATGAAGTACCAGTAGTTGTGATACAATTTTAAACATTTCCATATACTTAATTGGCAGCAAATAAACAGCTTATCAAATGTACACCTTTTTTATCATACTTTTATAAATACAAGTATTTGATCTAATAGGACTGCTATTCTGAGACAAAGTGGTGAACTGTTACCCAGAAAGTGACAAAACTAAGAACATTTCAGTGAGAGTGAGTGATAACTTGAAGAAGATAGCGTATCACACAACTAATTTATTCAAGACCCTTTCTTATGTTGAAACAGCTTCAATCAATAAGCAAATCTAATCAACTGTATTATAATACATCACTTAATCTGGTAATGAAAATGTGCGGATGAATATTTATCCACACCTGGGTTTTGGAAAATGAACTGAAATTACACACCAGATACCAACGATGAATAAACTGTCAATAACAGACGTTTAAAAAAAAATGCCTTGTTTTTCTTTTTCCTCTCTTGCTACCTTAAACAAACCTGTTTTCACATTGAGCAAGTGTTACTAGGTCATATTACAACAGATAATCCTGAAATTGTATATTAGATAATTCGTCATGTTTCAGCCGCAATTAAGTCACACATTGCCTGGCAATAGTCTCATACTGTCTAAACCTGTGGACAATTCTTCCTAACATAATTACCGGTACTTCTTGATGAGAACACTGCAAATGTCACTAATGAGGAATTCCTTTATTCACCATACATGCATGTACATTGAATGATTTAGTTTAATAATTGCTCTGGCACTAATTACAATACAAATACCTATATACCAGTCATGAATCATTTTGCATATATAGCGGGGATTATTTCCCAGATAAAGGATTATATGGGTCATTTCACTAATGTGTAATTAGTCACTGTGGAATATACACACTCATGGCTTCTAGCATTTTGTCGGCAGATCAAAGAAAATGCAGAATTGCAAAACGTGCCTACAACATGTGAAGGGGAGAATTGTTTATTCATGAATGGGCTTCAATTCCAATGTGTGAGGTAAATTACAACTGACTGCAATGTAATTTCCATCTTCATTTCATGCATGCACATACAATGTCAATCAAAACCAAACTCTGTACATGAAATGGAACCATAACTATATATACTCAATGATTCATTTAGTGTTTACATGTAGTCTGTTATTCTTTTTTCTATCTTCCAAAAAGACTAATGTATTAAAAAAAACAGGAATTCAGAAAGAAATGACCTGGAATGATGGATGCTGACATCATTAAATATTTAGTTTTAGAAGAATCATATAACCAGTTGAAATTGAAGAAGTGGTATACATTGTGTATCGGCTTA